GCAGGCAAAACGTCAGGAGAGAATGCCCCTAGAACACGGTCATATAGCCCGAAAAAAATTAACAACAGTCCAGTGATTCCAGCCATGAAAGTCTTTGACAATACATTAACCGTCTATTGATTGAGGTGGCTTCTAATTTTTTCTCATAGCTTAGTCCTGCAGATGGAATCAAAGGCTGCCTTAAAATCTATAAAGGGCACATTCAGTGATGTTTTGCTATTGGTGAAAAAAATTCTATCATGTTGGAGCACTACGCATTGATCAATGGTAGATCGACCACTTTCACTGCCATGGCTGAATGCTATGGAATGCTGGGATTTGTAGTTTGTTGAAGCACCAGCACTCGCACATACAAGGCTAAACATCTTATAAAACTATAGTTCACAGGATTCATCAGCACGAGCCATGGTAGTTAGAATTAAACTGCATTAATTTATTTGTTTAGAATGTTTATACCCCGTCCTTTATTGACTTCCAAGGAGGGACTCAGGACGGCAACCAACAGGCAACAATTTGATGATGAAACAATAAAACACATAATAAAATACAATCAAATGCATAAAAATCAATATAAATATGCATTAAATCAGTTTGCCAGGTTAAAAACGTCATCTAAATCCATCCAAATTGCAGTCCAACAAAACTCATCATTGCCAGTAAACACAGTCTAATCTGCAAATGCTTGCTTCCACAACCATGGTTTAAGGTTCTTCTGGAAGGGAGGGGGCAAATCTAACCTCCTTAGGGAGAGACCTCTGCAGCCGAGGGGCTACCACGGAGAAGGCCGTCTCTCGTCCCCACCAAATGTGTCTGCAATGGCGGTAGGATCATGAGCAGGGCCTCCCCAGATTATCTTAAAGTCCTTGATGGTTCATAGAGGGAGACACATTCGGACAGGTAAACTGGGCCAAAACTGTTTGGGCTTTATAGATTACAACCAGAACTTTGAATTGTGCTTGGAAGCTTATAGGCAGCCAGTGGAGCTGGTGTTAACAAGGGAGTTGTCTGCTCCCTGTACCCAGCTCCCTTGAGCAACCTGGCAGCCAATGTTGGACTAGCTGAAGCTTCTGGGCAGTCTTCAGAGGCAACGCCATGTAGAGTGCGTTGCAGTAGTCTATTCAGGATGTAACCAGAGAATGGACCACTGTAATTCTACAGTGTGTTTCACTTTGGAAAAACAAGCAGTATTGTGGCTAGAGCTTACATCATCTATTACTCAGAAATTCAGGTAGATCATTATTAAGTTTACTTATTCTATGGTTGCAGAACTAAAATGACTTGACCTGCCCATCAAGTGGGGTCAAAAAGGCCAAGGTATACCATAGGCAGATGAGAAATTATTAGCTGGATGGATAAAAAGTGGGAAATTTTACATGCTCAGAAAAAGTGCTCAGTAATTGCTAGAAAGGGCCAGTATATGTATTGACATTATGCTTTTCAACATTAGGAAAGTAGGGAGAAAAAAGGAAGCACATCTGTTGTTGTGACTTAAACTCTAGACCATGATTATTTGAGCCCTGACCACTAAAACAATGACAATGGAGGCCATTTTTAAATCCCCAAATTTTCTAGGCTTTGTCACACCACAGCTAATGGTCAGTCTTACACATTTACAGGCTTCATTATCCTGCCAGATCACACAAAGGTACACTGGAGGACCTTGGGATTCTTATAGAGAACACCTCTGTGGAAGTTGAAAATAGTGTTTTGGAGGACTAGAAATTTCTAAAGTGGTGTACTCTCAGGTAAAAGAATACAGTGTTCCCTCACTTATCCGGGGGGGGGGTTACTTTCCAGGACCACCCGCAATAAGTGAAAATCCGCAAAGTCGGATTTTCCTTTCCTTCTTAGACAAGTATCTCATGTATGTTCCTCTTCAGCTTGGCCCTCTTCCCCTGCTGAGGCCTGGTTTTCTGCGCTCAGCGCCCAAGGGGAAGAGGAAGGAGTGCGGAGAAACTGCACCAGGGAGGCCCAGCCTGGAGAAAGAACGGCAGTAATTTCCTTTTCTGGGGAGCCATGGGGGAAGAAGAGGAGGAGGGTAGGGGGAGCCAGGTGCTGGTCCTTACCCTTGGGCTTGTCTCCAGCTGGGCCTCGGCTTGACCCTCTTTCCCCATGGAGACCTGGTCTTCTGTGCTTGGCCCCCAAGAAAGAGGAAGGAGTGGGGAGCAGACGTGGCGAGGAGGAAGAGGTCACCACCAAAGAGCCTCACCAAGGTCCAGACCGGAGAAAGAATAACACTGATTTCCTCCTCCTCCTCGCCACCTCTACAACTCTCCACTCTGAGGTTTTAATATACAATGCGTGGGAAGAGAGCAGCAGGGGAAGAGGGCCAAGCCGAACAGGGCTGTGCCGAAGCCAGCCTGGAGACAAAGCCCAGGGTAAGGCCCAGCATCTGGCCCGTTTTTTCTAGTATTGTTCTTTCTTTGTGATATATAGTATATGCATAGAAAGTATAAGAAGGAAAGTAAAAGGGGAAGGAAAAACCTGCGAAACAGCGAGTCTGCAATAAGTGAACCATGATGTAGCGAGGGGAACACTTTATAGTATTTTAACTTGCAGTTTTTCACATTCACGAGCCTGTTTTCCTAACCCCAGAAAATATGAAGGGGTGACTGTATGGAGCTATGATTACACTTATACTTCAATGTTCCCATCTGATGTAGTACTGAGATTTGCAATTTAGGAACAGGGTCTAGAATCCTCTGGATTTTTGTGTACTTGAAGCGGAAGGTCCTGCCACAAGGACCCTCCAGATTAACTCCGGAAAACAAATCTACACTTATACAAACATGAAAACATATACAGAGCAATAAATTACATAAAGCAAAATGACAATGTCTCACGCACAGCAATATCAAAACAAATGTTTCTTTTTAAATAAAATAACCCCCAACAACTAACATAATTCAATTTAAAACAATTCTACAATCCCAAACCACCTCGCCTACTAGAGAAATACTACATGTGCAATCATAAAACCTAACCTATAAGCCTCACACTCTCTTACCTGTTGATTTTAGTTTCCCTATATATGTCTGTGTGTGTGTGTGTGGGGGGGGGCAACACTTGTGGGTAGAAGTCGGAAAAAGAAAATGTGAGGTGCAAGAGGTGTGTGAGGAGGGGCCTCTAAGGCCTGCTCTCCCTCTCCCCACCCCACGTACTCGCATTTCAAGTCTTCTTATCCTTGAGTCTTGCCAGAGGTATAGAATCTTCTCTCTGGTGGTAATGGTGGTAAAGGAGGAGCCCCTCTGAAGAAACAATCAAGGAACGAAGTGGCTGATTTTGTACTGCTGCTCTGATGCCACCATCACCTAAGCAGGGCAATGTAGTTCTGGGTGTGAAGGGAGTCAGATTTTTTGTTGCTGGTTACTCTGAGAAAGGAGTGGAGGCAGAGGGGGTCATGATGTTGGCTGCAGCAACAAGGAGAGATGGAAGATAGCCAGAAGCAAATACCTGCAAGCAAATTGCTTGCAACGTTGAATATAATGTTTTGGTGTATTGTCGGGACTGTGGCGCAGCAGGCTGGGAGTCAGATGCATTAAGATCACTACTGTGTTCATGTGTTCGAAGCCAGCCCGGGTAGGAGCGAGCTTCTGTCCAATTTGTGTAGCTTGCTGTTGACCTTTGCAGCCCGAAAGACAGTTGCATCTGTCAAGTAGGAAATTTAGGTACCTCATATGCGGGGAGGCTAATTTAACTAATTTATGCCACCATAAAAATCTCCAGAAAGTATGCAGAGAATGAGGAAGTACTTCATCAGTGTCACAAATGGACAGTGAAGTGACAGCTCCCCTGGTGGCCAGAATGCCCTCATCAAAAAGCTGGAATGTTAAGTAGTATCTCTGTGTGTCTGTCTATATATGTTGTGTGTCTATGGCATTGAATGTTTGCCATGTATATGTACATTGTAATCCGCCCTGAGTCCCCTGCGGGGTAAGAAGGGAGGAATATATATGCTGTAAATAATAAATAAATATCATGGCCGGAATCACTGGGTTGTTGTAGGTTTTTTGGGCTGTATGGCTATGTTCTAGAAGCATTCTCTCCGGACGTTTCGCCTGCATCTATGGCAGGCATCCTCAGAGAATGTATACATCAGACCTGGGAGAATTAGACAGAGATCTCTCCACCGTGCTCTTTTCACTCCAAAACACCCTCTGATCTGAATCTCAAGTGCTCTTTCACCTCCAACCCCCAAGCACCTTCCCTCTGCTCAAACGAGGCCTCTTTGACAAAATATCAAATTTCATCACAGAATTTCATTGCAGAATAGTCGCACCACATGTTGAGCTGATTATCCTTTTCTTCCTTCCTTCCCCAAGTGCAAGGCAGTTCAAAAACTACAAGATGGAGGTCTCTGAAGCTCCACTCTTCTCTCCTTTCTCTTTCGAAAAGCAGTTTTAAAAACCTGTAATGAATGTCTCTGGAACTTTCCTCCTTTCTCCAAAAACGTCATTCCAGATCTTCTAAATTGCTTTGCCTCAGAAAATGAAAGGATGAGAGAAGAGTGCAGTTGCAGAGATCTCCATTTTATAGGTTGGCAACTGCCTTGTATTTTAAGAAAGAAGGAAGAGAATATCAGTCCCAAATGGCTCTACATTTTTTAAAAAACGAAACAACAGTTTGTTTGAGGATTGATAATCCCTCCTCCTTTTCCCCTTCAAGAAGGCATTAACTTGAAAAATAAGTTTTTCCCCTTGTGTATTGCACTCCCTCCCCCCTTTTTAAAGGAAAGAATAATTAAACTTGAACATTTTCATGGCTTCTCCCCTGTGTGAAAGAGAAGCTGTTTCCACATTCCATCCATAAATATGGCTTCTCCACAATGTGGGTCCTTAGATGGGAACGCAGACCTCCACTGACAGAGAAGGTCTTTCCACATTCCATGCATTTATATGGCTTCTCCCCTGTGTGGATCCTTTGGTGGGTACGCAGAGTTTGACTATGAGAGAAGCTCTTTCCACATTCAATGCATGTGTAGGGTTTCTCCCCAGTGTGGGTCCTTTGATGGGAACGCAGTTTGCCACTATGACTGAAGCTATTCCCACATTCCATGCACTTAAATGGCTTCTCCCCTGTGTGGGTCTTTTGATGGGAACGCAGACAGTCACTCCGCCTAAAGACCTCTCCACATTCCATGCACTTAAATGGCTTCTCCCCGGTGTGGGTCCTTTGATGGGAACGCAGTTTGCCACCCTGACTGAATCTCTCTCCACATTCTATACACTTATATGGCTTCTCCCCTGTGTGGGTCCTTTGATGGGAGAGCAGATTTCCATTGAAAGAGAAACTCTTTCCACATTCCAAGCATTTATATGGTTTCTCCCCTGTGTGGGTCCTTTGATGGGAACGCAGTTTGCTATTTTGACTGAAACTCTTTTTACACACCATGCATTTATATGGCTTCTCTCCAGTGTGAGTCTTTTGATGGGAATTCAGATTGCCACTCCTACTGAAGCTCATCCCACACTCCATGCATTTATATGGTTTCTCCCCTGTGTGGGTCCTTTGATGGGAACGCAGTGTGTCACTTCGTCTAAAGCTCTCTCCACATTCCATGCATTTATATGGCCTCTCTCCTGTGTGAGTCCTTTGATGGGAACTCAGTTGTCCACTCAGAGAAAACTTCTTTCCGCATTCCATGCAGTTATATGGCTTCTCCCCTGTATGGGGCAGTTGATGAGCTTGCAATGTCTCACTCGAACTGAAGCTCTCTCCACATTCTATGCATGAATATAGCTTTCCCCCTGTGTGTGTTATCTGCTGCACATCAAGGAGATTGTCCCTCCAACTGAAGCTCATGCCGCACTCCATGAATTTATATAGCTTCTCCCCTGTATGGGTCCTTTGATGGGAACGCAGATGACCACTTTGTTTATAGCTCTGTCCACATTCCATGCATTTATATGGCTTCTCTCCTGTGTGGATCCTTTGATGGGAACACAGTTGTCCACTCAAAGAGAAGCTATTTCCACATACCATAGAGTTATATGGCGTCTCCCCTATATGGGGCTGTTGATTAGATTGCAATGTCTCACTTGGACTGAAGTTCTCTCCACATTCTATGCATGTATATGGCTTTCCCCCTGTCTGTGTTATCTGATGTACGTCAAGAACCCTTCTCCATCTTAAGCATTTGCCACAGGCTATAAGCTTATATAGCTCCTCTGCTTTCTGGGCTGTGGAATAGGGGTGTACAGGATTTTCCATTGTTTGTAAATTATTATTCATATTCTATGTCAGAAGTTCACAAAATTAACAGGAATTCTTCTCAGTCCCACATTTTTCTGCAGTCTCTCCAGTTCCTTTTCCAAACTTCTATTTTTATGTTATAGCCATGCTTTTCCCTTTTATTTCATAGGTGTATAGATTTTAATTTTTTTCTACTTATTTCTTTGTTGTTGTCGTAGATGTATACCTTCATGCCATTTCAAAGTTAGGGAATCCATATGGCAAAGCTATCACAAGGGTTTCTTCACAAGATTTGTTCAGACGTACCTGTTGATGAAAAGAGGAAAATCTCATCAGGAGTTTAGGACATTGAACATCAAGGCCGAGAGCCATGAGCATAGGTGAGAAGTGTTGCCTAACTGGGATGAGCTCACTACCCAGTGAGAAATCTTATAACCCAATGAAATAGTTAGAATAAGTTCAGGTATGGAACTGACCATACGCAACAGCTGCCAATTTGGGTGGGATTTTCCTAGTTCTAACATACCTCACTACCTCTGAGGATGCTTGCCATAGATGCAGGTGAAACATCAGGAGAGAATGCCTCTAGAACATGGCCATATAGCCCGAAAAAACCTATAACAACCCACTTTCACTATTAGGTGGAGTGGGGAGGGAGAGCACAGGACACAGTAATAACAACCTGGTGAGAAAGTATTTCTCTGAGCGATGGGAACCTCAAGTTTACATGGAACTTTTAACTGATTCTATTTTAATAGAGGTTGTTTTATCCAATTTATACACCTGGTTTGTGTAATGTATTATTGTTATCATGCTGATGTATTTTATTTTACGTGTTATGTATTTTATGCATGACATCCTTGTGTGCTATTTTGTAAGCCGTCCCAGTGCCTATGGGAGATATAGTCATTTGAGTCTAAATAAAACCATCATTCCAGAGTCCATTTTTGCATTTCAGGCAAAAATGGGCATGATCAAAAACAAAAATGGCAAGGACCTAACAGAAGCTGTAGAGTTCAAGAGACGGTGGTGAGACTATACAGAAGATTTGTATAGGAAGGATAATAATATCAAGGATAGCTTTGATGGTGCGATGAGTGAATTAGAACCAGACATCCTGAGGAGTGAGGCTGAATGGGCCTTAAGAAGCATTGCTAATAACAAAGCAGCAGGAGGCGACGGGATCCCAGCCGAACTGTTTAAAACCTTGAAAAATGATGCTGTCAAGGTGATGCATGCCATATGCCAGCAAATATGGAAAACACAAAAATGGCCATCAGATTGGGGAAAAAAATCCACTTATACCCCCATACCAAAAGAGGGAAACACTAAAGATTGCTCAATTTTTCGTACAGTGGCACTTATTTCACATGCCAGTAAGGTAATGCTCAAGATCATGCAAGGCAGACCCCAGTAATACATGGAGCGAGAGTTGCTAAATGTACAAGCTGGGTTCAGAAAAGTGGGAGGAATGAGAGACCAAATTGCCAATATCAGCTGGATAATGGAAGAAGGCAGTTTTACTGACTATTCTAAAGCCTTTGACTGTCTGGATCATAATAAATTGTGGTAGGTTCTTGGTGGTATGGGGATATCAAGCCAACTAGTCTGTCTCCTGAGGAATCTGTATAACGACCCAGTAGCAACAGTAAGAGCAGAACACGGAATAGACTGGTTCAAGATTGGGAAAGGCATACAGTAGGGCTATATACTCTCACCCTACCTATTCAACTTGTATGCAGAACCCATCATGCAAAGTGCAAGGCTTGACAAATCCAAGGCTGGAGTTAAAATTGCTGGAAGAAATATTAACAACCTTAGATATACAGATGATACCACTTTGATGGCCAAAAGCAAGGAGGAGCTGAGGAGCCTTCTAACCAAGATGAAAGAATAAAAAGGCAAAAGCTGGCTTGCAGTTAAACACTTTAAAAAAACCAAGATTATGGCAACCAGACTGATTGATAACTAGCAAATAGAGGGAGAAACAGAGGGAGGAAATGTGGAGGCAGGGGCAGACTTTGTGACAATCCTTGAAGTGACTGGCTTGTCCTTGAAGGAGCTGGGGGTAGCCAAGGGAAACAGGGAACTCTGGAGTGGGCTGGTCCATGAGGTCACAGAGTTGGAAAAAGCTGAAGGAATAAAAACATCTAGCGGATTTCATGCTCCATTCTCGAAAAGAGAACCAAATATACAATAGGCCAAATCAATTAAACTGCCTTGAGTCATCTTTGGGCTGAGAAAGGCACTATATAAATAAGGTAAATAAATAAATAAGAAGTGGGATCTGAAATGAGGAAGACTGATAGAGTAAAATTAAAATACAAAGAACTGAAACATACTCTCTCCACAATCGAACAATTAAAATGGTTAGTGAAATGTACATTATTCTACCTGTGCTTACAATTATAAAAAAGCAAACAACTTGTCCATTTCTATTAGTTCACACATTTTCAACTATCCAATCTTCTATAGTTGGTGTCTCTTTTTTCCTCTGTTGACACTATGTTAGCATATACTGAAGTAAAAGTTTGATACTACTTAAACTACCATGGCTGAATGCTAAACTAAAAACTGTGAATTTGACCTTAAAAGCTTGTTCTCTGCTGCCCTGGAGTCTAGCACGCAATGGAACTATGGCTTCAAACTACAGGAAAAGTGGATTCCACCTGAACATTAGGAAGAAGTTCCTGACTGTGAGAGCTGTTCAGCAGTGGAACTCTCTGCCCCGGAATGTGGTGGGGGCTTCTTCTTTGAAGGCTTTTAAACAGAGGCTGGATGGCCATTATTTATTATTATTATTTAGACCATTTCTACCCCGCCCTTCTCACCCCCGAGGGGGGACTCAGGGCAGCTAACACAGGCAACAATTCAATACCAACAGTATCAAAACAACAATGTAAAACAGCAATATAAAATCCATTACATAAAAATTAAACAGTGATATTAATTAAAAATAATCTGTCAGGCGTGCTTTGAATGTGATTTTCCTGCTTCTTGGCAGGGGGTTAGACAGGATGACCCACAAGGTCTCTTCCAACTCTATGATTCTAGGTCTATTTTCCCCAAACTCCACCAGTGTTCACATGTGGGCATATTGAGTATTTGTGCCAAGTTTGGTCCAGATCCATCATTGTTTGGGTTCACCATGCTCTCTGGATGATGATAAACTGCAACTTCAAAACTCAAGGTCAATGCCTACCAAATCCTTGGTCGTGGAAGTTGTGTGCAACCTGTCCTGGAGTGCTTTATTTATTTATTTATAGCTTTTATATTCCGCCCTTCTCACCCCGCAGGGGACTCAGGGGCAGATTACAGTGTACACATATATGGCAAACATTCAATGCCAATTTTTGACATACAAACATATAGAGACATACACAGAGGCTATTTAACTTTTTTCTGGCCGCCTGGGGAGCTGTCGCTTTCATCGTCCATCTGCGACGCTGATAAAGCACTTCCGCATTCCCCGCATGCTTCCCCGCTGGAATGCTTTGCTGGAGTCTTCTTTATGGCCTCATAAATCAGTTAATTTAGCCTCCCCACACTTTAAGGTGGTACCTTATTTTCCTACTTGAAAGGTCGACAACAGGCTACACACAATTGGTTGGAAACCCACTCCAACCCGGGCTGGCTTTGAACTCATGACCTTTTGGTCAGAGTGATCTTAATGCTGCTGACACTCAGCCAGCTGCGCCACAATCCCGGTGCTTTGAATGCAATTTCCCAGCTTCTTGGCAGAATGGAGTTGGAATGGATGGCCCACGAGGTCTCTTCCAACTCTGGGGTTCTATGATTCTAAGAGGGAGCAGGCTTGTTTTTTGCTGCCCTGGTGACTAGGGCTCAATGGAGCCTTGGGTTCAAATGATTGGAAAGAAGATCCCACCTTTATTTATTTGTTGTGTCAGAACAACCAGTGAAATTATATTACATTTCTAACAGAAAACAAAGAAAACAAGCAAGTTACAAAATTTGTGAGTTTGGTAGTTGATTAAATGTCCTTTGACCAGTAGCTGGCCACTTGGAGTGCTTCTGGTGTTGCTGCAAGGAGGTCCTCCACTGTGCATGTGGCTGGGCTCAGGTTGCATTGCAGCAGGTGGTCAGTGGTTTGCTCTTCTCCACACTCACGTCGTGGATTCCACTTTGTTGCCCCATTTCTGAAGGTTGGCTCTGCATCTTGTGGTGCCAGAGCGCAGTCTGTTCAGTGCCTTCCAAGTCGCCCAGTCCTCTATGTGCCCAGGGGAGAGTCTCTCATTTGGTATCAGCCATGGGTTGAGGTTCTGGGTTTGAGCCTGCCACTTTTGGACTCTCGCTTGCTGAGGTGTTCCAGCAGGTGTCTCTGTAGATCTAAGAAAACTATATCTTGATTTAAGTCGTTGACGTGCTGGCTGATACCCAAACGGGATGAGCTGGAGATGTCTCTGCCTTGGTCCTTTCACTATTGGCTGCCACTTCCCGGCGGATGTCGGGTGGTGCAATACCGGCTAGGCAGTATAATTTTTCCAGTGGTGTAATGTTCCACCTGAACATTAGGAAGAACTTCCTGGTCATAAGAAGTGGTGCTCAACATTGGAACTCTCTGCCTCGGAGTGTGGAGGAAGCTCCTTCTTTGGAGGCTTTTAATCAGAGGCTGGATGGCCATCTGTTGGAAGTGCTTTGATTGTGCTTCTGCATGGCAGAAGGGGGTAGGACTGGATGGGCCTTGGGGTCTCCCCCAACCTTCTCTTTTCCTGAATCCGCTTGAATCAAAGGCTCTATGTCCCAGTCTCCAGAGGAGAGGACAAGCCTGCCCTGTCCTCAATACTGAAAGAGGGAAGAGGGCGCCCTGCCTCAGTCTTGGGAAGGAGAGGCAGGCCTCTCTCTCTCTTTCTCTAGCCTTTCCCCCTCGCAAAGGACAAGGGAAAGGACCCCATCCTATAATATCCCCCCAAAAGACACACAGAGACACCCCATCGCCCTCCTTGCCAGAGGAAAGAAGGTTTAGGCCCAAACACACTCCCTCCGCCTTACCTTCCTCCTTCTTCTCTCCAAACGTTTCCTCTTCCTGTCCCAGAAGAGACCCTCCTCGCCCCGCCTCCGGAAGTGACGTCCGAAGTGGGGCGTGGAATCCAACGCCTAGGAGCCATGAGGACCCGCCTCCTTAGTGACGTCACCCTGCCTATCTCTCCCTCCTCCCCCCGCCCTCCCTGAAAGCATCCCAAGAGGCGGAGGAGACTCCCAGGGGCCAGCCATTCATAGAATCATAGAATCAAAGAGTTGGAAGAGACCTCATGGGCCATCCAGTCCAACCCCATTCTGCCAA